GGGGCAGCTCTGCGTGGCGTTTGCCGGATGGGGAGAGCAGGGCTGCGGCTTGCTCTGAGTGGAATTCCCTGCTGTGTTTCGTGGTACGGCTCTAGCACGCCTGGCACGGGGGCCCTGCCCCTTCCAGCCGGTGGGTTTGGTGCACAAGGAGCCTGTGGATGGGGCAGATGGGGGTGAAGGGAGGCAGGCAGCTGGGGTTTTGGAAGAGGCAGCACAGGCGCAGGTTAAATGCACAGAGATCACCTCCACCTGCAGAGCCTCCATGGAAAGCCGCGGAGCATGGCTGGGCCCCCAGCACTGGAGCCCAGCAAGGAGAACTGCTCCCTGAAATGGCAAAAGCCTTCTCTCCTCTGATGTTCATGGCCAGAGCCCTGCAGCTCTCATGTCTGCTTAGGACACAAGGGATCGATCACAGGCAGAAAAAAGCATCACCAGTCTCATAGAAAGGCTTGGATTGGAAGGGACCACCCATCTAGTTTCAACCCCCCTGCCACAGGCAGGGATGCCACCCACTAGATCAGGTTGCTTACATAAGCCAAACTGAGTGCCATGCCAGGGGATGGCCTGTCCCCTTCCTTCCAAGTCTGGCTGGCCCCAAGCAGCCCAAGGAGAGGAATGCAGAGGGATTGCCCATGGAGGAATCCACCTTTGTCAGCAGGTGGTGTGAGGGAGAGGCAGGAGAGGGGCCTGGAGCAGTACCCCAAGGGAGCAGGGTCCAGCTGGCAACGTGCTTGGCAGCACTAGTCAGCGGCAGGCTATAAATACCTCTGACAGGAGATAGAAACACAAAAGCCGTCTCCACTTTCCTCAAATAGCTCGGCAGCCGGGCCAGACAAAGGCACATTGATGGAGCAGCCGTGGCATACCAGCTGGGCTGGGCTCCGCTGGCGGAGAGAAACCCTGCTCAGGGTTGGGAGCCCCCAGTGACCTGCCCCCAGACATTACAGCAGCAGAGTCCCTAGCACGTGGCAGGGCTGGGCTCCCTCCCATCCCTGGAACTGTTCAAGGCCAGATTGGATGGGGCCCTGAGCAACCTGGTCTAGTGGGCGGCATCCTTGCCCATGGCAGTGAAGTTGGGATTAGATGATCTTTAAGGCCCCTTCCAACACAGCCCATTCTGTGATTCTATGATTCAATGTGTGACCACTCACCCACACATTCTCCTTTGGTGCCATGGGGGTAGGCACCCGAAGGATGCAAATCTTTGGGTAAAATCAAGCTGTTGGAGGTCCCAGCCCCAGTGCATCCCATAGCTGGGGCACAAAGTGGTGATTACAATGGCTATTCTCCACCCCCTGTCTTTTCTTGCACATCCAACACCAGCCAGCATTTTTCAGGGCTGGCAAGGAGAGATGAAGTTGGAGAGCACCTGCCTGTCCCTGTGCTAGCATAGCTGAAAATGCAGAGAGGGCAGGAGCAAAGTGGGACAGGGCTGTCCAGGGACCAGGAAACAAGGAGTTACAGAAGCCGCACCCCAGAGCAGCCCTGGAGAGCTACAGTGTCACATAGCAACACTTCATGATCCAGGAGCACAACAGGTTTAGCCCTCCTCTCAGCAACTTGCAAGATAAAGGTTGGTCCTGGGCAGCGACATCGACCAGAGACAAGTCCCCTGGGTTTACTCCAGCAGGTCAGAAGTAGGGCTAAGGGTAAGTGTGGGATCAGATGCAGACAGGAGAGCTGGGGAAGGAGCTGCTCACCTGTGCCAGGAGGAAAAGCAGAGGGGTGGGTGGACTGTTCATGGCTGTGCTGAATCAGCCCCAGCTGGCCAAAGCTGATGGGCATGGAGGTGTGGAGATGGGAAGGCAGCTGCCGTGGACCTCCCAGCCTCTCTGCATCTTGCCCCACAGGGACTCACATGCCAGGAGGTGTGAGATTTGCAGAAGGCAGGGAGAAGCGAAGCAGAGAGGCAGTGGGATGGCAGAGAGGCTATGGGACACCTGCCTCCCCCTGACACTCAGAGCCTCTCCTTTCCAGGCCACTCACATGGCTGAGCAGCCTTGCCCAGAGATGGCCCTGCCAGCCCAGGTGATGGCTGCAGACAACACTGAAGCCTCTCCACTCCATGCCACACGCCGTGGCTCCCAGCCCCCAGCCCGGGGCTCCGAGGAAGGCAAACCACCACTCCTGCTCTCCCGCCGCAACTCGGTCCTCAGCCGCCGCAGCTCATTCGGGGTGGTCCCGGGCAGCAGGCGCCCGTCCATTGGCCCTTGGATGTTCCACAGACGTGTTAGCTTCTCTGGGCTCCCCCTTTTCCAGCCCATCCTCAAGACCTGCCTCAAAAACACTTATAGGATGGGGCCAGAGGAAGGCTGCAAGTTCAACGTGGGGCAGGTGCAGCGGATGCTGGAGGGGGCCCTGGCCAGTGCCCTGGGGACCACTGTCTACAGCCCTCAGGGCAGTGCCCCACTAGCCCAGAGCGTGGTTGAGCTGCTGCAGCACCGGGCTAAGGAGGTAGTGCCACCCCGCTACAAGCTGGTCTGCCATGTGGTGCTGGGCCAGCAGGGCCAGCAGAGCCTGTTGGTGGCCAGCCGGGCACTGTGGGACCCTGACACTGACAGCTTTGCCTCCGCCACCTTCTCCAACGCCTCCCTCTTCGCTGTGGCCACAGTGCATGGGGTCTACTTTGAGTAGCATGTGCCTTTCCCTCCACCCAGTCTTGTAGAGCTATAGGGAAAGAGCAGCTGAAATAAAGAGGTTTTGTCCATCTGTGGCTCATACCTGGAATCTTTGGCCATGATATGTGCGTGGAGCAAGAGAGGGATGCTCACTCCAACCTCAGCTCACACCCACACTATAGCTCCCACTACTGTGGTTTGCAAAAAGACCCAAGCGGCAGCAAACACAACCCAAAAAAACAGGCAATGGCCCAAGGCTGTTGGAGCAGCCCAGGCTGCTTCCCACAGCACAAGCTGCTCCCAGGCAGATTGATTACACAGATCACCTTCAAAGCAAGCTCACAGGGCTCTTTCCTGGCTTCATGCCCAGCTCATATCCCATCACACAAGGTGTCATAGTGCAAGGACCCAGGCAACTCCTGCACCACCTAAGTCATAACTCCTCTGCCTTCTGCAGCTCAGCAGAATGAGAAGGGCAGATGGGTTGGTCCAAGTGCTGAGGGAATTGGAATGAGTTTGGCAGCAGCAAGAACCAGCTGAGGCAGCTCCAGGTCTCCAACTGGCAACAGCAAGAGTTAACTTTGCCCTTCCTGCCAGCCCCCCAAAAGCAGTGGAGGTACCACATGGACTCCTTGCACCCTTCCTCCCTGCATCCCTGACCTTGTCCCCCAGCAGCGAGTGGCAAGAAAGGTTATCCCTGGCAGACAAAAGCAGCCCTAGAGCAAGGATGATGCTGAAGCCTTTTGTGACTCCAGGTTCAGACAAGGCAGACACAGTTTGCCCTTAAACAAGTTTTTATTGAGGTGAGTCAGGGAGAGGGTAGCTGCACACAGACAGACCAACAGGAAAATAAATAATTCCATATAAATAAGATACATAAATAGTCCCACATGGCAGAGACTGCCTTGAAATAAGAAACTACCCTGGGTCCCAACAAGATGAGGGCTTCTCCAGGAAAGTCCTCAGATCCCATCCCCCCCTTTAATCAAACCTCAAGTTGTACCAGACAATTCACAATTTGGAAACAGACAGGACACAGTTGGGCCCAGCACAACACCCTCCTTAGTGTAGCAGTTGTGGAGTGGCACACACCAGCCCACAGAGCCCCTGGCAGGGCAGGCATCACCCTTCACCCCTTGTCCACGCCAGAAAGGGGCTTTTTCTTCCCCACAGCACCCAAGGCTTGAAGTCAAGGCTGTGCCAGTCCTCTCCAGGCTATGCAGAGGGTCTGTGCAACTGGTGCATCACCCTGGGCAGGCCAGGGCAGCCTGAGCTCCCACCACAGGCAGTTGCCAGCCCCAAACAAGACACAACCAGCCCCAAACCTGGCTGCAGGACACTCACCCACCACCACCTCCCTGTACCACCCCAGTCCACTCCATCAAGATCAGCACAATGAGAGCGGGAGCTGGAGATGGAAAGACAGAGATTGCCCAGAGCCAGGGAACAGCAAGGATATCCAGACCTGCTGCTGGAACCACATCCACATCTTAGTCCAGAGTCCAGCTGAACACCAGGATACAGAGTGCCCAGCTGGGCAGCCAGCACCACAACATACCTCCCATCCCATGGGAGGGCAGGGGGGAGACCTCTATGTGCAGAGAAGGTCCCCCAGGGTCCCATGCTAAGCCTCAGCCCATTCTTGGAGGAGCTTGAGGATGTATCTGAGGCGGTGGTGGAGCTCAGGAGAGCAGCCCAGCTCCTGGATACTGCACAGCTTGTAAGTGTAGGAGTTGCGCTCCCGGTTGATGTAGGTGACAAGGCAGGAGTGGTCAGGCTTGCTAATGATCACCTTGGTGTGGTCGTTATAGAAATTCACCTAGAAGACAGGTTGGGCTTGGTTTAACCTGTGCTTCCCACAGCATGTCGGGAGCCAAGAGGCAGCCACACTTCCTGCCTCAACCCGTTCCTCCTCCCCAACCTGCCTGGGAGCATCCCTGCTCCGTGCCCCGTGCCAGGAATGCGCCAGCTCCAGCACTGGGGCAGACAGAAGCACCCAGCTGAAGCATCATGCCCCCCAGGAGCTGGGGAAGCTGCAACCAGCATCTCCAGGCACTGGAGAAGCGTCTTGCACCCACAGCTGTTTTCACAGCTGGATTTTGCATTTGGGCTGTGGTAGACAAGACCTAATACAGGTCAGGAGACACCATCTGGCCTCTTCCTCACAAGGGTCTAGGCTTCTCCACTGTGCCCCACACATACCTGGAGGGTGCCATTGCTGAAGAGCATGAGCAAGGCTTGGTCAGTCTTCACCCACTGCAGGAGGAGCAGGGCCGGCTGCCCAAGGTCATCTATGCTGGGCAAGTCACCTCCCTTGGAGAGAAGGGTCTGCATAAACCACTAGTCCCATACACAGAAGCACTTCCACCAGCACACACAGCACCACACCTGGACACCCTCTCGGGGGGGTCCTCACTCCCAGGACACAACTCTGAGGCCACAGCCTGCAAGGAGGGAGTCCAACCAGCCCAAGCAGTGCGGTCAAGCCAAGACGCAACATCCAGCCCAGGGCCCCAGCACCCACCTTCATGAGATGCTGCTCCATGTAGGATGCAAAGTAGCGCAGGACAGTCATCTGTCCCTGCAGCTGCTCGGGGATGGCGGACACAGAGAACACCAGGTGTTTGCTGTTGGTCGGGTTGTAATGCACAGTCCTGAAGGGAGCACACCGTGAGCCTTGAGGACGTCCAGCACCAAGCCCACCCTGGCACGGCCTCCCCATGGCCCCTTCCCACCAGCCCCACTCCCACTGCTCACCTGCGGTTGGGGGAGAGCGTCATGTGCGTCCCGTTGTTGAAGAGGACCCCGATGCTGCGGTTGGAGAGCTGGTAGCCAAAGCCATACTTGTTGGAATAGTCCACCCACTTGCTCACCCAGACAAAGTGCTCGTGGCGGGCCAGGGAAGCCGGGTTTTTCTCCGCTGGTGGAGAGGAGAGGAGGAGGTGAGCAGAGCAGGCAACCAGTCCCTCCCCACTTCACCTCCCCCAGAGGGGAGCAGACCCTTGCAGCAGGCTCTGGCACCATTTAAGGTGCTATTTGTACCCCAAATAGCAGCCATGCCTTCATCCCAGGGGGAAAAGGATGCACAGCACCCTATCCCATCCCAGAGCAGTCCAACCAGTTTACCTGGGGGCATGGAGGAGAGGCAGTTCCGCAGGAGCCGGACGGCTGACTCAATGATAGCAGAGGCAGTGATGCAGTCTTCAAAGGCTGCAGGGAGAAGATGACAGGCTGAGTCAGCCGGCCCCGCTATCAGCCAGGCAGGACAGGAAACCCAGGGCAGGCTGGGGTGGTCGGGGCAGGTGTTGCTCACCCTCACAGCTGCTGGCCATCGTTCCTCGGATGGAGGGGGATGCAGACTTGTGAGATGTCTCCTCCACCACTGTCTCCACGGGGCTGGAGCTGGCACTGCGGCAGGATACAGGAGTGGCCTGCAGAGAGACCTGGCTTTACCACTGTCCTGCCTGCTCCCCAAAAGAGGGGCACGCGTGGCCTCGGAGATGTTCTCACCTCATTCCCTTCCACAGTTTTATAGCTCATTTGCCGACAGATCGAGGTCTTCATCAGCCCAGTGACCAGCTTGGAGATGTCATCCTTGTCCTCCAAAGAGCCCTTCTTGGCTAAGAGAAGAGCAAGTGATGAGCACACTGCTGAGCATAGGGGATGGGGACATCTGGGACACCCCTCCCAGTAGTTCAGCTCTCCCTTATCTGATCCCATGCCCACGGTGGCAAGGATGGTCTCAAACAGCTGCCTCCCACTTTCACTTCCCAGTTCTCATGCTACACAGGGCTTTCAGGAGGAACTGCCCGTGGGTTGCCACGCAGCATCCGCTCTCCAGGCACACACCCATGCCAGGCCACCAGCACAAGAAGGGCTGGGCAAGCCCAGCTTGTGCTGTCCCCAGGCAGGGGGTCCACAGAGACCCATCAGGTCTCTGCAGGAGACAGAACACACTTCTCCCTGGGAAGAAGGGTCACCCAGAGCCTCCTTGGCAACTGCATGAACTTACCCTTGGGTTTCTTCTTCCCAAAGAGTGTCTTTGTGACTTTAGCAAACAGAGTCTTTGCAGGGTTTGGGGGACTCAGCTCTGGAGCCATCACGCAGCTGCTGGGAGGGAGCTTCTCAGGCGTGTAGCCCTGCAGAGAGGTCAAGGAAAAGGTTTGGTTTCCATAGGCCACATGCTCCAGGCAGAGCAGCTGCCCTTGGCTGACCGCAGTCATTCACATCCCTCCTGACAGCCAGCTTGTGTTTCCGTCAAGCCTTGGAAGCATGACTGGCATCAGTACAGGAAACAACCCCCTGCTATAGCAACAAGGCAGCAGGAACACATCAAATCCCTCAGTTCCCCTGGCTGGCATTTGGGCAGGACAGCGGCTGCATCCTTTGAAGGACTGAGACTTGGGCTCCAAGGACAGCACCCTGCACAGCCCAAAAAGCCTCATCTGCCTCATCCCACGTGGAGAAAGGTCCCTTGACCCAGATCCCCACACACTCACCTTGAAGAACTCATGGTCCAAAATCTCCTCAAGGGTGAGGCGGTCCTGGGGGTTACGTCTGAGGATGCCAGCGATGAGATGCTTTGCAGGCAGGGAGAGGAAGGCAGGGAGGGTGTATTCCACCTGCTTGATGCACCTGTAGGTCTCCTTGAGGTCAGAGGTCTCGAAGGGAGGGTTCCCACACAGCAGGGTGTACCTGGGAGGGGACATGCATGCCACTGTCACATCCCCACCAGGCCTGTGACTCAGCAGCACTTAAAGCAAGGAAGTTATTGGCATTTGGTTGGCCACACCTGGCTGAGAGCACCACTTCCAGCCTGGACAGCCACGCTCACATCCGGCCACACTTCCTCCTAGCAACTGCTCAGAGCAACAGGCAGGGAGCCTCAGGGAAGGACAGAGGGCTGATAAGCAAAGGCTACCGTCTGCCACTGTTGCTCCCACCCCCGTGTGGCTGCCGGGGGGGGGGAAACGGAGCAGGAAGCTTACAGGCAGCAACCAGGCAAGGGGCTGGATG